AATACAATATTTATTTTTGATTCAATATATTTGTAATTTTTTTAATTAAGTTACTAGCGCGTTTTCTCTTGTTTGTTCCTTATGTAAAGTGAAAAACTTGCAAAATCAAAGCAATATATAATATTTGAATGAGTATTCTATGGAAGGTGTGTCTACCATGGGTGTGAAGTAGTTTACTTTTCTACTTTTCTTCTACTTTGCTACGCACGTGGCAAAAACTATACATTTTATTAAATAATAATTTTTTTTTAAGTTCTAACTTTAACTTTAATGATAATTAAATGAAATGACCTATGAAGAATATATCAATGTACTTTAAAGGACATAAATTTAAATGCCAACTTATCAGGAAGTATTTTTCCTTTTTTGGTACCAAAAAGAAACACGATAACATATATACGAAACTATGTAATATGAAGAAACGGAAATCAAAATATTTTTAAAACTTAGATAAAAACAAGTAAGTGGAAAAAGGATAGAAATGAGTTGAGGGACATTATTGAAGTACAATGTAAACCATCAAGAGACCATCTAAAACCACTTGAATCCTGAAATTTAACCCGAATTTTTTTTTCAATTTAATTCTTATTTTGTGCTGCTTACAATTTCTTTTTATTACGAAGTAACAAAAAATAAATGAAAAACGAAATGAAATCGAGAAAACTTAAAACTCAAGATTTGTACAAGTAAAAATTATAGTTTCAGTCGAAGTACACTGAGAAAAAAATTAAGTGCAAATGCACAATAACAGCCAAGCAGTGTGGAATAAAATACAAATTTTTGTATTTTTTACCTTTGACAGCAGTTTCGGTGGCATTGGGGACAGCTGGGCAAGAGTTTAAAAGTAAGCAGCTTCATGGCTGCAAAAGTTGGGTAAAGTTAAATTATTTGCTCAAGTTAGCTGGGCGGTCGCATGGAGTTCTGGCCGTGCTGTGGGTCGGCTCTTGGGTCGACAACTTCTGGCAGCAAGTGTAAATTTTATTCCAATGCATTTTTATACGAGTATTTGTCTTTTAAGTTTTCTGCTTTAAGTTGGTTGTAAAGTTTTTGTAATTTTCCATCTTAAAATTTCCAGAAATGAAATTTTTTCTTTCGTTTTACTTGTTACTTCTTGCGGTTTCACGCAGTTTTTGCTCAGAGGATTGTGTGCAATTGTGCACTTTCAGAAAATGTTTATCTTAGGCAAAATATGTTGGGTTGCTTTTAGAGAGAGAGTGCAATTTCTTTTAAATACAAATAATTCCCACTTCTTACCACCATACATTATAGAACGTAAGACTTAGATAAATTCAGTATTTTTAGGTACTAAAAGAATTTATAATTCGTAAACATAATTCGAACTCTTCATATATAATTTATAACTATTGACAATGTTTATTGATTATATTATTTTTGTTAATTTTTAAAAAGCACTCAAAAGTTTTCAAATTTTACACTATAAAATTGACTGCCTAATTTTGATTAATAAAGTTCATTTGGATCACTTCCACTTCAATCTTAAATTACTATTAATGTTTTATTAAATTTTTAAATACGTCTCACTCAACGCATTTCAAGTAACTTATTTACATTCTGCTCCAGTTCAACTGCCTTCGAGATAAGTAGGCTTAAGCATGCTTTCCATTATTTTTTATTGTCAAATTCCGTTTTCTACTCGTACTTCTCGTATCTATTCTACGATGTGTAGCAAGCACTGTACTAACGTATAGGCTCAGAGCTGTTTGATGCAGATATTTTATATTTCCGGCACGTATCAACACCCGCTTAACTTAAACATTTGTTCACATACCAAAGCGCATAAACTTTTGTTTGTGAGTGAACTACAAGAATCCAGACGATAACCAGCGTGGGGGATATAGTGGGGAGAACATTTCTTTTCTATATTCTTCTACTGAATCCTTGTTATTTTTTTCACGCTTTTGCTGCTTTTAATCAGTTCAACATTTGCTTCGTAAGGACTCTCACTGATGTGCTATCGCACCAAATGGCTGCGTATGCCTATCACATAAAAAAATATTGATAGCCCCTAAAAATATGCACATAATCACATTTAATATGAAATAAGGATCCGCTCGGCTTGTAAAAACAATATTTTTTTTGTTATTTTTTTTGTATTTGTATATTTTTGTGTGTTGATGTATTGGCACTGTGTATGTTAGTTTATTGGCAATGAAATCAAAGAACATAAATTTACAAAGTGAAGGATTCAAGATTGTACATTTTACTTAAGCATATATTATTTTCAAAAATATTATTTAACAAACAAATTTAAAATTCAAAATTATTCTGTTTTGACATTCAAAATGTTTATACAGAACTTTAATGCAAAAATGTTGTCTTCTATTTAGCTTTTATAATCTCGTTTTATTTCAAAAAAAATCAACTTTTTTGCTTATTTTTAAACTTATGTTCGAATACAGATAGCTGGCACCTTGGCACCTGTTTTTCTTAATTTATATTTTATTTAAAGTTCAAAATATCTACAAATGCGGACATTTTTGAATGAGGATAATTTAAATATTATATTTAATTGCTTAAAAATATATATTATAGGTTTTTTCCATTGAATTTGTTCTATTTGAAATATGAAATATTACAGTAGTTTGATTGTAGTAATTTGTAAACCAATATACGTTATTTTTTTCAATTTTTCAAAATTTTCATCAATATTTCATAGGAATCAGAAATGGAAACATACATTTCGATTTGAGAGTTCCTGTGGTTAAAGTCGAGTTCGAGAGAATAAGGCAGAAACATATTTCAAATCTTGAAAACCATGTGAACCCGCTAGCTAAACCTCTTGCTAATATGACAACTTGTTCTAGACTGAAATGGAATGACAGATACGCTATTCTGCTTTTTTAAGGATCACACTGATTAATTCAACTTATACGGCGTGATATCTGGTAAATAAACCCTACTTGTTCAGAGATTTCATTATAATATGTTTATATAAAATAATTTGTAATGTGATATTATTAATCTTTAAGATTTTAAAACTTATTGTTACGCTTTAATTTAAAGCGATTTAATAAAGACATATTTTTAAATAAAAAAAAAAAGTTTCATGGGAAGAAATAATTCCTGCAAATACAAATACTTTTATTTTAATCATAATAAAATATAAAGCTATATAAAATTTTTGATACGTGAATTTTAAGTCAACAATGGATTTCAAGAACTTTCGCTTATATCCCATCATAATCAGCTTTAATGAAATACTAATAGCAATTTGTCAAAATCCAGCGTATACATCCAAATTTTCTTTACTTAAAAATGTATTATTTTATTTAAGCATTTTGGACATAAGTCAAGTGAAAAGCAGTTTTAAGAAAAGTCCTTGACACCTTAAACAAATAAGAAACCAGAATATAAGACATATACGAAGCTTTCCTGATCAGGATACGACACAGTTAAGTGGCAAGGAACGTAAGTTAACATGGAAAACCACTGCTGCTATTTTACTACCAAAAAAAATAAAATATACATACATACGCATTTGTATGCACTCACATACATGCTAAATAAATACTCAACATAAAAGATATTAAATAAAAAGATGCAAGAGAATGCACGGAACAAATTTCAACAGCGGAGAAAAGTAAAGAAAGTGACAGTGCAGCCAAGGCGGCACCAACAGCAACAAGCCAAGTGGAGCCATAAGAGTACGAGGTTTTCCTTCAGCCAAAAATATTAAATGTACAAACACATTGACTTCGGTGCCATATAGAGTGCCTTTCGCCATATATGAGCGTGTATTTTTTGTAGAAGAAGAAAACTTTTGATAAAACCCAACCGAAAATAATAATAAAAGTAGTTACTGCTGCTCTGTGTTCCGCGCTCGGTACTTGAAGGAAATATGCACGCCAAAGATAAGCAAATGCGACGCAGCTGTTTGCGTCTCGGTGGCGGTTTAAATAAGTCGCCAAGTAACATTCTGGTATCTTCTGCGGAGGAGGGGCGTTGCGAAGACAGCGTAACTTTCAGGAAGCTCCATATTAACATACTTTTTTTATGGTAAATGCATGAGGATGCAATGTACACATACTGCAGAATACAGCAGAGGCAATCCACTTTAATGAGAAAATGCATAAAAGTTGAGCTGCGTTACTTCTTTATAAAAATGTTGAAGCGAAGCGAGAAGGTTCAATAGGTTGCAAATATAATTATTGAATAAATAAAGTGAAAAACTGAAAGACTTAAAAAATACTTTAAATTGTAGTGAAAGTATCCTTTTCATTACATATGCAAAAAGCTTTAAGAAATACTCATCAGCATAAGTATGCATGTATGTAATCGTATGTTGCATTGGTTGGTTAGTTGGTTGCAGTGGCAAGTCCATAGCTATCCTGCATTTTTCCATAATTTGTAATTATACTCTGTTTTAACACCACATTCCTTTTAAAAAATTTTAAAGTAATAAATACAGTTCGAATATTAAAATAATACTTTCTTCTGATGCCTTATCTTCTCTTATGTCGTTAAAATAATTGAAAAAATTTCATTACAGCTACCAACAACACTTTAGTCTTCTTTAAGAACTTTATTAGACGTCAACAGTTCCTGGTAGATTTTGGGGATCCCAAAAAAACAACCAAGACGTGTACCACTCCTCTTCGTAAAGGCTAGGCAGCTAAGCAGAAGCTAGGCAAAAGCTTAATACTTAATAAAGAAATTATAATGTCTACAGGGCTCCGATTTTTCTACAAACTAAATACTTAAGAAATGAACACTAATTTTAAATTATTAAATTATATCGTATTCAGGTTTGCTCATTACCATATACTTGAAATATGGGTTAATATGTGCGCATAAAATAATTAAATATCCTATCATAGCTACCACTTTTATTATTTCCATATTATAACAACCCTGTTTCCTTTACAATACTCCTTTGTTTGCAGTGTAAACAAACTGCGAGCGACACGCAAAGTCAGGTGTACATTAGAGTCAAATAAATCGCATAATCTGTTAAATTAAATAATATTTAATGTACTTACATTGTACTAAAATAATGAACAATAATATCCAGAGGCGTCGATCGAATGTCGGTCTCATGACTTCATAACTTACAAATGTGTTTTGATTTAAGTTTTCTACTCCTTTTGATATTTGCTTTTGATGCTGTGGTTTCCGTTTCAGTTTTGTTGATATTTTTATATTTTTTATTTGAAATATTATTTTGTTTATTATAATTTTTTTACTAATTTTTTTTGTCACTTAATTTATTTTATTTTGAAATTTTTTGATTATTAATTAATTTGGCACAAATTGTAATGCAAATTTATTTTTCAGTAGTTATGTGGTTTTTTTTAATTTAATAAAAAATTTAATTAATTATTTTTTTTATTAATTTGATATTTTTAAAAACTGCGCAGAGCTGAAAAAAAAAGAAATTTATTAATATTATTTTTCAAGAAGTTTGTTTAAAAATATTAATGTTTTTTTAGTTTTAAAATAATATTTTTTTAAGATGTCTGGAAATTATTTAGAAAAAATATTTTAAAATTTGAGATTTAATCAAATAATCAACATTTAAGATAACAATTTCGAAGACTAATAGTGATCTGATTACTGGATAATTTCCAGATAGTAAAGCTTGTGCTAATACCTCAACAAACCGGATATGTTTAATAAAGCAAAATATTATGTTTGAAGGGAAGAGAAGATGAAACTGTTAGCCACTAATCTTGTGATTAATTTTTTTTTTGCCTGATACATATAACGAAGAGCTCTACTTCGTTTCGAAAGAAATTACACGTACTGAGAAACATTCTTTGTGTGAGGACTTTCTAACAAAAGAGAAGAACATTTTTGGTTCATAGAACTCCGGTCCATTTGCTCATAAAACTCTAGAGCCAGTTCTTTAAAGTACAACGCTGTGTTGATAGTCGAAAAACAACTCTTAGTTTTTGTTTTAGGTAACGGCACGGCAAAAGTCTATAACAAAATTGAAATCTATATGAAAGGATTATATATGGAATTTACTAATTTTAGTAAAGTAATTATAAATAAATTATAAAATAGAAGTGAGATGAGTATTAACTTTTATTTTATTCACACTTACTAAGCTAGGAGCATATTATTAGTGAATTTAACTATATTTATTTCATTCATTTAATCTTCACAACAGCTCTACTTAAAATATTTGAGTGATGAGGAATGATTTGCTGATATCCGTTCAGTCGTACTTTAAACAAAACGAGGTCAGCAATCAAAATGATGTAGATAGTCAGGATTTCCCAGTATCGATCAAATGAGGCGCCACCAAAATTTGTATATTCCAACATCACATCAATAACTATCATCAATAACAATTTGGAATATTGTAAACGCATATAAAAAGTACTGAACCATTGCACGTTCTTTGATGTAAAACACCTTTAAAACCTGTTATCGCCTTTTCAGCGTAACTTGATAAAGAAAATCCGTTGAAAGGCTCTTTAACCACTTTTTGTCGTTAAATCAAACCAAACACTTTTGCTTAATCAGAACACATTTTTATGTACGGACTTTTTTTGTGTTGTCGGATCCCTAACAAAGCATGTGACATACTGGTCAGATAAGAAGAAGTAGTCACCACCTGATAATCCAATTAGTGACATAAAGGATTTCATGTTGACAAAGCTACGATTCCAACTACCAAATACCGATGCCAAAGAACTGAAATAAAGTAAAAGCCAACAAATGAAATGACTAAAGAGTTTCGCTCCGCTAACATAACGTACACAGAGACAGGAGTGGAGTAGAATATGTAAAGGGTGAGGTTTATGTTAGCTGACGCTAATAAATTTCAGACGAAAAAGAATAGATACAGCCACTGAAACAAGTTCTATTGCTTGTTACTCGCTCTTCGACTGTCTGTCTATCTGTCTGTCTGTCTGGTTGTCCGTGTCAGTGTTTAACTATCTGCCTGTCAAAATATTTGTCTACAACTCATTTGGCAAATTGTAGCAAATGTTTACGTAGAAAATTAATTAATTTTGTAACGTAAATGTTACACAATGTAACGTAACGTAAACGCGCATTGCGCTCCGCTCACAGCTCGCCGCTCACCGCTCACCGAAATCCATAAACTACGTTGGGTCATCAAGTCTTAGCTTGCATGCAAAAATTTAACATTTTTCGGTGTAACCAGAAAGTGTTGTGGTCCGTTGTGGTATGGCAAGGAGCGGTGAGGTGAGTGAAGGAAGGGCGCTTCGGAGCGCTCACAAAAACTGGTGTTGGTCAAACTGGCAAACATGGAATATGAAAATGGCAAAATATCCAACAACAAAAAATGAAAAATGTTGAAATGGTGCAAAGGATAATTACATTTGAAACGTTGAGCAGCGCTACAAAAAACTTTTAAGCACACAAAGTTGCCACATTTTTCATTTGAATTTGTTGCTTAATTTCTATCATATCTGTTGTAATCGCAGCAATTGCTGTTGCAGCCAATGGTGCAACAATTCATATTGAATTGCCAGAGTGACTTTTTAATTGCCGGGCAACTTTTTGCTGCTCCTATTTGCATATGGCATATATTTTTCTTTGCTGCACAAATAGTTATGCAATTGACTACCTTAACGAAGGGATTGCACAGCATTCTCTCTGCGAGGTGGTCAATATTACCTGCAATTTATTGTCAGGTGACAATAAATGTTGTTCATCAATGACAAATGACAAATTCTAACAAATGAGTATGTTTATTATTTTGATTTGTTGACAAATCATTGTTGCACAACTAAAATTACAAGGATAACAGCATTATTAGCATTTCAATACCCAACAGGCCGTTATGTAAACCAGCAGCAGAGAATTGTTGGTAGACCTGCCTATGCAAACTTATAAGCAACAATCAATGATACGGAAAAATTAACAAATGGACAGACAATCAAACAAAAGTTGACATACAGCAAATAATGAAATAAAATTTGCATAGTGTACATGTTTACAACACACACAGATACACACTAACACACACACACATATACAGTTATGTTACATTAGGATGATACAGAGCAATTTATGTGCTGCCATTGCATCACGCGATCAATTTGTCAAACATTTTTCACATAAATGAACTATAGTTAAATGCTGCAAAGTGCAATGACGTACATTAGTTGCATGCCAAAGTGCTGGTTTGTAGCACTTGAATATGAATTCCACCAACAACAGTTGCTTATGGTCGTAGTCATGTAGTCTAATACGTTGTCAGCTATGAAGGCTGAGGCATGCAGCACAACAAGCACGTCAATGTTCTTGCAGAGATTAAAACTTGTATGGAAGCTGTCATACAACTGTCATTATGAAGCATGTGACAAACTATTAGAGCCATTGATATCGATATCCATATCGATACAAATATAGCCACAGCCACAGCCACAGCTACAGCTACAGTCACAACCACAGATACAGATACAGATACAAACACCAAAATTGTGTGCCATGTCGAACGAAGTGCATATGTGCGCCATCATGAATACTGAGCACCAAATTATGAAGTGGGTGGGTGTTGCTGAGGTTAAGTGGATGTGGATGTCGATGTGGGTGTGTGTATGTGTCAATGTTTTGTTTGCTAAGGAAATATGATATTTGTGTCGTTATGCGAATTTACTGCTGATATATCTATGTTAGCAGCAAAAGTAATGGCAACAGCAGCAACAAGAGCAACAAAATAGAACAACAGCACAACAGCACAACAACACAACAAAACAACAGCAGCTACTAAGTAAAGTCATAAACAGTAAAACAAACCTGAATGCAACAATTTATAAGGACCCACATATGGTTTCTTGCATAAGCTAAACTTTATCTGGCAACCATTGAGTGCAGGTGTTGCTCACCAAATATTTGTTTCGATATATGTAAGCAAGGACACACGTACATATTCCGGCATATATAAATGACATACTTGCCACAAGCATGCATACCTCGAACTTTAACTTATTTATACATGTGCATGTCCTTATGAGTCCCTGCGAAACATGGCAGCAATCCATTTTTGTTTCTTTTATGAGCTCAAATTTGTTTATGTTTTCAAGTACAACAACACCAAAAATCACGAGCTTGGCATTATTTTTCTGTTAGATTTCGTTTCAATTCATTGATTTGCTTTTATTCGTCCTTTTTGTGTTTTTAATTTTCATTGTCATAAAATATTGACGCAGGATTTGTATCGAATGTGGGACAAATTTGATTTGATGTGGAAAGTAGACGAACTCCATATTAAGTACTCATTGATTCGATTGAATTTTTTATTTGCAACATTTTTGATTTGATTTGATTTACTTATGCAATTCAAAACATTTCTCAAAAGGAAAGCAGAATGGAGTACTAAAGTTTTCGCTTTGAAGCACTTTAAATAAAAATAAAACAAAATTGATTTCGTAAGAAAGATCATCACAGCGCATTGATGAAATTTGGGGATGCATAAAGCTCACAAAAGAGTTGACTTAAGGAAAGGAAGAGTAAATAAGCTGTATAGAGGTATTTATGTTGTTTGAATGGTAAAAATGCTGAAGAAAAGCGATCCTCTCTCAGTGATAATGAGAGCATGTATTTGTCGCATCAACAATGCCTTGACTTCGAAGGTACTTCTTTTGTACTAAATACAGAACAGATTTTAAGCTTGCTAAGTTGTTTGTGTTTGGATTTGCACCATTGACTGTTTTAGTGGCTGAAAAATAATATGACCTCAAAATATGCTCACTTACCCAACTATAATGAAAAAGTTGGTCAGTTCAAGACAGCTGATAAAACTAGCAGCACTCCTTTTAGTTTAATGATGGAAGTACCACTACTTCATTTTGCTTAAAATCAAATATTGTAAACAAATACATAATCCAAATAAGGTTTGGATTATCCATTTAGATGTTAACAAATTTTGCTAATATCAATATCTTTTATTCATCTTTAAAAAGTGATCGGTGTTACTGAGTTTAGAAAACAGTCATTACTACACTATAAGTTCTCAGTTAATTAGGTTGAGAAACCTATAAATACTTTTGTTCGTTATCTTAAAGAGCTAGAAGTTTACTAAGCGTTTTAAAGATAATTAGAGCATCCTTTTTCATTTGCTTGACGAGTATTTCACAGCTTCCACAAAACTATCTAATTCAGTATTGATTTACTAGGGAGATATAATCATTCTCACAAAAATCTGATTTCCTACAGAGATAGATCT